TAATTAAAACATAAAGAGAAAAAAAATGATTACATAGTAGTGATTAAAGGGGTATTATATAATTTTTTTGTTTATATTACTATCATATATCTTATAATCTCTCTCTCTCTCTCTCTCTCTCTCTCTCTGTGTCTCTCTGTGTGTGTGTGTGTGTGTGTGTGTGTGTGTGTGTGTGTCTGTGTCTGTCGGATGAATCACAATTCTGAAACATTAGTTTAGCCTTGAATCACGAGTTTGTGTTGTTATTTTGCAAGTCAATTAATATATAAAGTTAAAGGTTAATATAATGTATTAACAAGATTGAATGGAAAAATAATTGCACACGTATTGGGTTTTCAAAACCATATACTCAGGGCTCATTATAAAACTTGAAATTCTTGACTGAACAAAAAAAATACAATCATTTGTAAGTAATGCTCATCCGTTTTTAAACTGTTGTTCAGTTTTCGTGATACACTCATCCGTAAATATTTCCTCCAAAAAACGGCGCAATGATTTTAATAGAAACATATGATATCAAATGTGTAATAATATAATTGTTGATTAATGTTTTATTCATCAAGTAAAACTTCTTGATAGACGACGTTGGAGGTGTAGACTACTCCGACATGATTGAATTGTTTCACAGACTTTACTAACACTTTCGTATTGTCCTGTGATAAACCAATAATGAAAAATTATTTCAATTTATCATTAAAAAACAAAATTATCGAATATTTCTTTCATATTAATAAGGTTCAATGTTTATTTTGTATGTTTATTAGATTTTTATGCAGTTAAATTCAAAGCTTTGAAAACTGGTACTTCTATCATATTTTTGTTTTTGACTATATCAGATTTTTATGGAGTTAAACATAAAGCTTTATCATATTTTTATTTTCAACTTCAAATTTCCCCCTTTGGCCACGGAGGTTCAAATGCGGTGACTCCGGGCTATCTGTAAAAGCAGGTGGTTGCCTAGGATTAGTCGGCTTGCATAACAGGTTGGATATCCAGGTTAATCAAAAAAAAAAAAAAACTTCAAATTTCTTTAACATATTCTGGTTCGGAACTAAAACCAAACTGATATTGGGCATTCCTAAAACTCGATTATATAAACCCTTTCAGAAACCCGATTTCATATGTTCGTTTTTTATAATACAAACGAATCACATAGAACCTAAATTATGATAGGATGTATTGACGTATATTTGAGAAACATAATTACCACAAAGATCACATTATAATAGAAAGGCCTAAACCGTTGGTTGTTGGTTTTTATAGAAAAAATTAGGTACAAGTCCATGAGGAACAAGGGAACAACAAAATAAGAAATTTGACCTGTTGTTATTTAGCAAGATGAAATCGAACTCAACTCCAAAGTTTTTGCTCGAAGAAAATCAGATATTGAACTCCATAGATGAAATCGAACTCCAAATCGTTGATGGTTCGTGCCTTCGTGGTGCCCAATAGGCCGTGGCCCGTGGTTGGAAGATGGCCGAAAGTTGAATGGAATGATAGGGTTGGGGTGGACTTACATGTAGGATCTAAAATCCTTTCGGATATTGTTGCTTCAAGTTTTAGTTTACTTCAAGAGAAGAAGAACTTTGAATTTGAATTTCGTTTCAAAACATGAAACAAACAAAGTGTCAAACAACTTTAAGAAAACCAAACATATCTTTTTCATGTAACTTTAAGAATCTATTTATTCAATTTTCAAAATAATTAAGGATTTATTCATTAAAAAACTTAAGAACGTAATCAATCAAATTACCATGATTGGTTGGATTTTTTTTACAAACATTACCCATTATTGAAAACCCAAAATCCAAAGTGTTGTAACTTGTAAGAAACCAAAATGAAAAAATATAATATATATATATATATATATATATACATATATATATATATATATGGGGTTACCTCACCCTAAAAACGCAGTAGCAACACATTCATATTGTCTCAAACACTAATTGGAACTATATCTATATCAGAGCAGCCTCGGAGACGGGTTCCGACGAGGCTCTACCTTTTTCCGATCTTCATATCCACTTATTTTCTATGTATTTTGATCGACCTCACAACATACGAATTTCTGCCATGGAAGATGGGGGAGCTCCATATGTTTCTGTGGATTCGTTTTTCTTTCACAAACCTATAAAAGATAAAATTCCATCGTGCGATCTTGCTCTCATTGTTGGAATCGGCGGTCTCGGAATACAATTTCAAATTATATAAGGTAAAATCTGATTCCCTTTTATTTATTTTTCAATTTGCTTAACATTCATAATTAGAGTTCAATGTTACAATATTTTAGGGGTTTTTCTAACCCCACCCCCTCCTATGGGTGCATGTGAGGGGGGTGAGATTGTGTAGGGGGTGAGTATGTGAGGGTGAGAGTGAGGGAAAGTTGTGAGGGTGAGAGTGAGAGTGAGAGTGAGAGTTGGTGTGAGGACGGGGTGAAAAGTGATGTAGGGGGGTGAGGATATCAACCCCCTATTTTAGGGGTTGATATTCCTAATCCCCGTCATCACTTTTCAAGATATGACTATTTCTCTATAAGCAATTAATGGATTTTTTTAAATTTTAATTTCAAATTTATAATTTATACTCCTATAATTAGTTAATTAATTTATTTTACGTCATTTTATTTTAAATTTTTCATTTTACACTCTTATCAAATTAACATATATAATCGTATATCAATTAAAATATATTTAAAAAATACGTTTTTATTTTGACAAGTTACACCATTATAATCATCTTGATAAATACCTTCGAAATGAGCCTAATATTGAATAGTTTTTGGCTTAATTATATTATTATATATACTACGAAAAATAATTTTAATATTTACACTTTATACTCTTATAGTTATTTATTTAATTTATGGTACATCATTTGTTTTTTCAATTTTCGTTTTATACCATTATCATATTAAAATACATAATTTTATATTAACTAAAATACGTTTTAACATGTCACATTAAATTCAATCTCATATCCATCAAGTAACATGTCATATTATGAACAATGATACATATATTTTGTACAAAATAAATTAAGAAAATATATTTTAACATGTGTACCCGTTTACATAATTGTAAAAGTAATCTGATTTGAAATAATGTAAAGTTACTAATTTGAAATAAAGTAAATTACTGATTTGAAATAAAGTAACAAAAATCGATATATATATATACACATGTTGTGTAAAAAGATGTGGTTGATGCTGTTGTAGATATTCACAAATCTGTCTGACTTGTAAAAATTGTGATGAAGACTGTGCGGATTGCATTAGTTTTTCTGTATAATATGTATGTTGTTGTTCTTCATCTGAAGACTGTGAGGATTGCATCAGTTTTCCTGTATAATCTGTATGTTGTTGTTCTTCATCTGAAGATATACTCAAGAATGACCCTATGGTTGTAAAGGTTTTTTCAATATTTTAAAATCTTTATCTGAAAAAACATTTACAACCATAGGGTCACTTAATCAGAAGAAATTAGATTTTTTAAATCTTGAATTCACTAAAAAGACTAGTAGTAATACTCCAATAGAAAATTGTAATTTTATTTGTAGATTTCCTAAAAATTATAAACATCTCTTACACTCGAAAAATATACATTTAAACGGAATAACAGACTTAATAATTAATCTTGGAACAAACTTAGAACAAAAAGCTAAAAGAAATAATCAAAACTTAGATAGGATATATAGTCTTATAGATAAGAAAACAGAATTAATTAGTAAGATAACAGAAAATTTAGATTATATTAAAGCACAAAATAATCAAATTATAAACGACTTAAGAGATATTAAAAACGGTCTATTAGAAAAACAAGATATAAAGCAAAAATCACACGTTTACAATAAAAGAAGAGGATATAGAAAAACTAGTTAGTGGCTTAAGTAAAATAAATATTAGTGAAGAAAAACCTAAAAGTAAAATAACACCCTATAAACATTGGTTACCACGAAAATGAATAATCAAAATAGAAATTTTCTTGGACGAAGTAGAACATTACACGAAAGTAGAAACTCTACAAGTAATATACAAGATATAATAAATTCAGATAGTTTTATTAATAAAATTATAAGACGAAGATCAGGAAGTAATAGTTCACAACAAGTTATCCAATTAGAAGAAGAAATAGATCTAGATAGAAATATAAATCTATATAATCAACACCAATTGGATATTTTAAATCCAAGAGTATTATATCAAAGAGGAGTTCTTAATATTAATACAATACTAATTTGAAGCAGTCGTGAGGAAAGTTTGAGAGTACTAGATAAAACAGAAACAGTAGAACTATTTTCACCAGAAACAATACAAAAGACAAAACAAACAGGAAAACAGTTTGCCCATATAGGCTTAGTAATTATAGGAGTTAAAGCATTAGGACGAAAAAATTTAGGAACAAAATTATTAGCATTATTATTAGATAAAAGTTGGAAAACAGATTTAAAGAAAGCAATAATCTCTGGCATGGAGGTTGATCTTAGTCAGAATACAGTCTTATTTTATTATACCACTGGAATTCTAAAAGATATTAATGACCTTAGAAACATAAAAATAGCGCTACAAACTAAAGGATATGAAAATTACGAAGGCAATAATATAGTTATAAGTATAGGAGTGTTAGGTAAGGCAAGTAACAGATCAAGAATGAAGTATAAAGTAAATATTGAAGGAATAGTGAACACTATAGCATCAAAATCAATACATATGATTAATCCAGAAAGAATAGATCCTGAACAATTAGCAGGACTAGAATTGAAATTAGACAATTTGCAAGACCAAGAAGATGAAGTGTTAATACCTCAAAAAAATGTTATATATGAAGATATACATGGTACACAAAGCATAAGATTTATAAATTATACAAAAGATATACCAAAGGAAATAGAAGACAACAATAATATAAATACAGATTGTAATTTTATGAATATTGAATATGATACATAACCTATATATGATACAGAAAATGAAGAAGATGGTGAAAAACTGATAAATCTCAGATTCGATAAATTTGAAGAAGAAGAATATGATTATAGTTTAATTGACTATTTAGAAGAAAATATAACTAATAATGAAATAAATACAACTTTTAAAACAGAAGAAACTTGTAACGCCCCAACCCACACATTGCATGTAATACATATTTCATACCAAAGAAATAMRTATTCAWATACATTCGGGTCCACTAGTACAAGAAATCTACTATKACCAAACACAAGGTCCAAAAATTCCAAATACAATCTTGTACTAATCATCAGAGCTACGCATCAAAAGCAAATCTTCACCCAAAATGCACGTAAGAAAAACACTAAATCCTTTCCTTTCCTTTACCTTATACACTTCCTGCAATACATATTTTAAAATCACAAAACGAGGGTTAGACTGTAAAGTCTAGTGAGATACCCTATTCATGTCATTBHAGGRTGAAGGATCACCAAAACCTTTACAAAATCAAGTATTCATATAAATAACAAATATATGAATCCATAATACCAAAATACCAAGTCATTTCTCAAATTCAAGCTATCA